AGATGTATTGTAGGTGTGTAAGCGTTTGTAAAAGTGCAAGAGTTTGCCTCTAGTTGAATGTGTGTGTGTGTGCGTGTGAATTCTCATTATTTCTTTTATTTTGCTTTTCTCACAAGTGGCTTTCACGCTTGAAGCATCGCAAAAGTGTGGGGCGTGGCTATGTATGCACTCTAAGTTACGGTTCAGCGAACAGCTGTCGAAATTAAGGACAACTTCTTTGAGAACTCAAAGTTAATGCGGAAAAAGTTAAGTAAAAATAGTGTTGGAGGGAAATACAAACATTTGAGATGAATGGAAGGCAGCGGTAATGGGTGTAGAGAACTTAGAAATATAGGGCACTTATTGAAAGGAAGTCAAACTCTGGTTTCAGTGGTAAAAGCAAGCTGGATGGACTCTTATTTATCGCCTTAAAACATTCCTTAAAGCAGCCAAGCCTAACTAGCAGCGCGGAATGAATTCAAGATCTGCGCTCACAAACTTGAAGAGATTGGCGTAAAAGCAACTAGCCTGAAAGCAAAATCGCAAGCGCCGGGAAATTTCCTTCCAATAAAACTATAGATCAAAAAAGAGAGACACAAGTGAGCAATATCGAAAACACGAACTAAAAACCACAACCATCCAAGATGTGCTGAGACAAAAATGAGAACAAATAGAGAATACTTACTAGCTCTGAAGAGTTTCCTCGCGTGGATTTGTAAAATACCTAGATCCTTAGATCCCAGCTCGCAAAAACGAAAAAATTAACGATGGAGCGAATGGCTTGGGATATCGCTATGGTCCAGAAACTTCCTTGTATAAGTGAGGAACGTCGGTGTAACAATAACTCGAGATAACATTATGCGTATATAAGTACGTATATTTGTTGTCGAAGGCATAGGAAAGATAATTGCTTTAGTAGAAGAAAAATATCTAGCTCCTCTACAACCCAGGTCACAAAAGCGAAAAAGTGAACGAGAAAGAAAACAGCTTGGGAGCAACATCGTCACTAGAGTCTAGAAACTTCTTTTCAATAACAACACCTACTATGAGAGATGTGCTCCGGCAAAAAAAAA